ATACATCGAGACTCATAAGATGGTAAGGGTAAACTTGTCCAGCCTAACTTTCTTAGAGAAAATAATAGAAACTTGTTTTGAACCGATTCAATGCGGTTTATATGAGTATCTTGATATGGAGCCCAGACTATACTACACTACTCAATGAGGGGCCTAACATATGCAACGTATAATGTTTTGATTGTGTATGGATCATTGAAATGAAAGCTAACCCTTTTAATAAACCCTAGCATGTTGCATGCCCTGTAGATAATGTTATTATAATGTTCAACAAAGCTTAATTTTGAATCTAGTATAACCCCTAAATCTCTTACTTGATTGCACCTTTCTACTCTGTTTTGTCCTATTGTTACATGTTCTTGTCTAATAATTTTCTTTCTTGTAAATGAAATGGAATTACATTGAGCACCAAGTGTAAAAGTTATCAATTTCTTGCTGAAATACTACAAGATCAGACGTTTCACGGATTTCCAGGAAAATTTTCATGTCGTTTGCATATATTGAGAAATTCAGGATATTCAATTTGTGCTCTACATCATTAACAAATAGAATAAACAGTAATGGTCCAAGATGGGAACCTTGTGGCACACCAGATGTTACATTGACTACTGACGATAAATTTCCTTCACTTCACTGACTGAATCCACATTAATAAATGCTGACTAAAACCTAACTAAGATAATTTGAATAGCAAAAGAGGGATATCAACTCTATCAAACGCTTTACTGAAGTCAGTATATAGTGCCTCAACATAATGTAATGGATAAGGGCATTGCGTTAATAGAAAATGTTACAAAATTCAACAGATTAGTAGTCGTTGAACGTCCTTTAACAAAACCATGCTCTTTGCCTGTAATTAAATGTTTAAATACCATTTTTTTAAGCAATAATGAGTATCTGTTACCCATTAATGGGTAACAGTAACTCATTAATGGGTAACATATACTCATAAATGGGTAAAAAACTAATAATACTAGTTAAGCCACTTTTCTTCAAATGGACCTTTTTTACTTATTAATGGGTACTTTCAAGTTAGCGTGTTGAGTAACTCGTTGCCCAGCAACATGTGCAAAGGCATACACGCCAAATGTAAGCAATGCATTTAAACGTCGGTTGTTCCCGAATTGCAACATGCCCACTCAAACTAACTACATCATCTGATAGAGCAAATTATCTCTCAGACGCTGGTGTCAGTTTAAAGTCATTGTTTACATTTGGTAAATAGGTCTTTTTTACATGACTCTCTAGTTACTTGCTCTCACATTTCGTGAAAAAAAACGCTTCTTATATGCCTTAAGACTGGTCGATTTCCCAAGTCTTGACAGACGAGTAGTGAAGACACAGGCCTAATAATCGCAACGTTCATGGATCAAACCCAGTCTGTTTCCTTTTTTAATTTTTTTTTTTGAACATCATTCATTCCTTCCAACCATCAAGTAATTTCTACCCATTCAAGCGCTTTGTTTCAAATACTTAAAATTTATTATATGATTTGAGTTAGTAGCTATACTGAAGATCCGAGAAATGTCGCCCCTTCATTGGTAGGAAAATCATTTTTGCAGTATGGATAATATCAGAAAATCCAAGATTTAAGACTAAACATGCTTTCACAGAAGGAAACAAATTAACGAGTTTTTACCTTATCATCATAGTAACGTACTCGTGCAATTTTTGTGCATCTAAATCTGCTCATAAAAACAATAATGAATAAAAACTGAAAATTTTCACGCATTTCCAAATGGTCATTCCTATACAATTTTATTAAATTTATACCTCAGAAAATCCCGGTGGCGCTTAAGATATAAACTTAATTTTGGGTATTTTTTTTCTTACCGTGCGAGTAAAATTTTACTCAACTGTGAGTTGTTTTTGATAGCCTTGTTATGCTCAATTTTTAATGTACTACCCAACTAACAATGTTCGCAATGTAAACGCTTTACTCATTTCATTTATACAGCCTCAAGCTGTAATAAAATGTTATACGATATGTGGAAACCTTTACTCAACCCCCATACAAGCAAATCTGGCGAATTTAATCAGCTACTCATGGCTGTTGGGACAGCAGCGATAAGCTCTTATTGCATATCCATTTACACTTCTATACAGTTGTTATTCTGCTGTTTAGTTGTGTGTGAACTTCAAAGGCGCTTAGTCAACCTTTACCCGATTTTCCAATAATCACTACACAGTTTTCGCTTGACGCGAGGTTAAGTATAGTTTACGTTTTTTTTTGGTGGACGAATTAACAAGTTTATTTTACTGTGAATTAAATTAATCTAAATTAGTTATAAGCACACCACCAAATGATTTACACTGTACCTGAACCTGGAATCAAACTCGATACGACCGCATTGGTGAACCTTGATACTACCAACTTCGCTACGCCAACACTTTGAATTGATGTTTACATGCCCTTCACAGCAAAAAAATAATTTTGATAACACATCAAAGTGTCAAACATATGGTGTAATATTACTTGCCAAAAAGGACAAAATTATCATTAATACAGTGCATGAACTGACATTATGCTGCTTTTACTGCATTTGTTTATTGTTGTGGCCATAAAAATTACATGAGATTTTCGACATGATTGAAGTGCATTCTCTTGGATGTAATATTAAATTTTTTTTCGTGTCAAATCATATGGTGTAATATTACTTGCCAAAAAGGACAAAATTATCATTAATACAGTGCATGAACTGACATTATGCTGCTTTTACTGCATTTGTTTATTGTTGTGGCCATAAAAATTACATGAGATTTTCGACATGATTGAAGTGCATTCTCTTGGATGTAATATTAAATTTTTTTTTGTGTTCTACAACAAGATCGCTGAGTAGAGGCTTTATGATAGTGCACATAAATCACCTTTCTCGACTAGTTAATTCAGCTTTGTAAAGGAGCAAAACAAAAGCTGTAAAACTGCACACGTCTAAAAATAAACCTAGTTGACTGTAAAATAGCTTCTTAGGTAGCGCTAACACAGTTTATTAGTTGAGTACAGGTTGTTTAGTTTTTCGAAAAAGCACTTTTGATGCTTATGTTATTCAGCAAGAGTGGTTGGTTGTGTAGAAGCCATCAATAAGTAATATATTCGCTTTGTTTTGCAGCTAAAAGTTGACAGTTGATTAATATTTGCATAAAAGTGACATTAGAGTTTATTGGCTGATGTTATTTAGTCCGACTGACAAATTGAATAATGGTTGTGAAAAAGTTGAGTAAATGCTTTCCAAAACTATTTGGCTAGCTTCTTTTTGTAGCTGTATCTGCAGCTTTGTTTCAGCTCCTGTACAGCACAATGCTGGAAAAGTTAGCTTATAAAGCTCAAAATGTTAGTTGGGTAGACACCTTTCACGTCACTAGAGCCGCCAATGTAGGGAAAAATCGCATCTTGGGGATAAAAGAGTGAACCATATTGTTAAATTCATAATATTTGCATTAACTCTAAAATCTTCTGGAATTCAACAAGATTCAAACCCTGATCATCTGCATAACTGTCTTTACTGCTATCCACTCAACCATCTGAACCTGTTCGAGAGAGACGAACAAAGGCCCAACAGTTAACACGATCGTTAGGTTTTATGCAGTGCAATGAGTGAAAAAAATAAAAAAAATATGTGGAATAGCTGAGCGCATCCAGCCACTCACACAGATTTGCATGGCATGTATTATTTCATAATAAGCTTTGTTGAGCACGTTGGGCAAAATTGATTTTTAAATCGCAATATTTTTTTTTTTTTATTATTATTATAGTCACTTTAACACTCTTGGGTCATTCGTGACATGTCCAGGGGTGAGATTTGAACTCGTGACTTTGGCGTGAGAGGAATGGATGTTAACCATTACGCCGGGGTCGCCCCCAAATCGCAATATTTGGAGTATTGATTTTTCTCAACATTTTCTACTTTTGGGCGGTGGAACACCCAATTGTCGTTGTTTGATTTTTAAATGGGTCATACTTTATCCATTGGTGTAGCTAGCTTCAGAATGTAAGGGTGGTGGGGGAAGGTCAATATCACTTATTGCTAGACACAATTTCTTTACCCTCCTTCTTTTATTTTCACGGATATTAACATCACACAATTATTGTCACCTCACTAGTTACGTCACTTCACTTGCCGCACAGAGTAGGAGTGACATGCAACGATTTTTTCTGAGTATATAATTTTTTATTTACTGATTATTTTATGAAATGATAATAATGTTGTGATAGATATGTAATCTTTTAAAATTGACATTAACTACACAACAGGTTTTTTCTTGTAATAACCGCTTTATGATTACATTTTTACATGTAATTTTTTTCAAATTAGTCAATGTTTTCCTATTTCCTTCAACAGATTTCCTTCAATGTTCAGAAAAGCAAGAAGAGAAAACCGCTCAGAAACTAAAAACTTAAAGCTCAGAACTCAAACAAAAAAAAAAAACATTCCGTAGCAATTTGTATATTTATGCTAATAGCTTCCTAAAGGATAGCATAAAAATGATGCTATAACCATCCCAAAAAATCCACAACCCCTTCCTTCGAGAATGCAGATTGTGTGCATATGGTGCAGCGCTCCATCCATCTGATCGTTGTAGCAGAAAACCGATTAGAATTTCAGATAACCATCGCTCCGTGGTGCTTTTGGCGGAGTTGTTGTGTATTTGCACTGTGCACATGCAGTTCACTGAAAATAGCGTAATTCATAATCCCCCGTAGCGATTAGCATTTCTCTCGAACCGATCCGACAATGAGCCTCGTATTTTGTTCGGCACATAGGCTGATGGTGCACGGGTTGCATGCCTGGGTTGGCCTAAAGACTGGAGTTCGAGTTTCCGATTAGCATATTTAATTCACCACCAGCTCGTCAGCCAAAAGCACGGGTTAGGGGGGTGTCTTTTGGTCTGTTGAGGTGCATCAATGTGATTTTTGACCAAAATTAGAACCTCTCAAACATTAACTCATACCGCTGATGTTGTTAAATGCTTCATTTTTTTCTCTTTTCGATTCTTTGCAGATTGCGGCAAATGTAGATTTGACACGAAACGATTAAATCTGAATAAATTCTGCAAGCGTGATTATGGTAATTTTTTCACAACCTTCCAGTTTCACCTGAGAGTCTCTTTCCTCTTCGGTTCACCGAGAGAGTAAAGGAGGATGAGGAGGATGCTCGAAAATAACCCATTTCTCGTTTCTTTTTCTTTAATCCATTCTCTGTTCGACACACAGCAATCATGGCAAAGGTCACCGGACGAACAACATCTTCAAACAAACATGTCCCTCGGGACGAGATACGTTTCAACCTGCAGGTGCAGACCGTATTCAAGTCGACGAGCCCACTGGTGGTGACAAGCAACCAGCGGAAGTCGTCCGTTGGTCTGATGGTGCCCAACAAAAATCTGGACTGCCGATGTCCGAGTATTAAGATCAACAAGTGAGTATCACCGGGATATGTGTATTCCACAGTCGAAATTTGATTTTGAGTTTGCTTTTCGACATGTTTTTCAATGTTATCTGTTGAAAATTTTGCTGCATTCCTTGGCTTCTTGTTCCGTTCTGTTGAATTGAAAATTTCAGGACCATCATTAGCAATAATGAATTATTTTACTCTTAACAGATCATACTTAATATTGGGTATGGATTCAAAGCAGAATCCAGACTCCCTGGTGCTCGGGCCAAAGACGATCATCATCGAGTGGAAGGATGACTGGAACCGACGGTTACGGAGATTCCAACAGCAATCGGGGTCTTGTTATTAGAACAAACGAGAAAGAGAAGGTAGAAGAGCAGACTCTACCGTTGTCAAGTCAATTTGAGCAATCGAGTGTGTATGTGAGCGGGTGTTTGAGAGGATGTGCAAGTAAAGTCAAAGTTTGAACAATTGCAAGTATATATTATGACACGTACATAATAACATGAACCATTATGGAAGTAATGACAACAGCATACAAATAAACCCTTACTCATAATGTATTAATGTAGCGAATAAGCGGATTGCGATAAATGCTGAAACAGAAGAGATTTCCCCTGGAAAATGAGTAGTAAATAGGGGAAAGGTTGGAGTGCAAATAGAAAACAGTGGAAATAGTCTTACCAACAATAGTATTTTTGTCTCTGTCAGTGCCATTGAAAACTAATTAACAAGTGAATTGCAAAAGTATAACAAAAATGATTAGCTTCAGTCATTGTGTCGTCGTTGTGCGAGGGAAAGAATTAAAAGAAGGCGAAATTATATGCAATAATGTGTACAATAAATCAGTTTAAGAATGTATAATTATGGTTATAAAAGGACTTATTCAGAATTAGAATCGTGTTTTTAAGGAAATTGATCAACTTTTGGTCATCGTCGTCGGAATAGCTTTTCTTAGTATCATTTATCACCCTCATCATCATTATCATCGGAATCAATTAGGAAGAGTGGTACTATTGAAATTTCTTTGTAAATATTCGTATTTTCTCTTGGTATTCTTCCCTAATAATAATGGTATGTTTTCTTAGATCGACGACTGTTGGGTCTTGTGCCGTGAAGCTTTTGCGAACAGTAGTAAAGCATCTTTTTAGTTCGAGGTTTCTGGAACTTTTTTTTAAGTAAAATGAAGAAGCAAGTGAAGTTCAGCTTCTGGATCCATGAACAATGATTGGCTATAACCACAAACTATAACCATGTTTACCTGTGAATTTGATAAAAAATATTATTAAATGTATAACACATACCATACTCAGTATGTGATCCACAACTTTATGTGTTCATATTGATGGATCTTTCCGAACTGAAAACTTACTCGGACAATTTTGTCACTTGTAAGCCTAAGACACTTTAAATGAGATCAGTTCCACGCGAAAGAGGTTAATGACTAGATTTGAATGTTTCAGTTTTAAATGAAATTTTGATTATGTTTCTGACCTGGGAGGGAATATGAAACTTCAATTTTGGCTCAAGCGTCATATTTTAAAAGGGCGTATGTATTTTCATTGGCGATATGTTTGAAAAAACGTATCTCAAATACTATTGAATGTACCGAAATGGTATCTAACTAAGGATGAGTTGTAGATAATGGTTTTTAAAAGTCTTAAAAAAACTTAAATCCAAATTATAAAAATAAATGATTTTTCAATTTGTATTCAAAGAAAAATGAAAGTCATTAAAAGGCTTTTAGAAGTAATTCTGAGATGGTGGAAATTGTATTAACATATTTAGTAGAAAACCGACCTTCAGCCTTCATGTGTAAAGGGTGAATTTTTACCACTTATAACGATTTCTGATGTATTTTGATCAAAAATACTGAGGTCGAACATTTTTCTAACTGGAGCCATTTTCGAAATGAATTCGAAAAATATGCTATTCTTTCCTCTGTGTACATGTTTTTTTTTTCATATGTTGTGCCGTATTGTACCCTCGGTGTACAAGTTTTGAGCATGTGAATTGAATTTCTTACGATTTGTCTTTTTTCATCTTGAAAATTCAAACAGCCGGTTTGAGGTTACAGGCACAAAAGTAATGTGTATTTTTTTATTTCTCAGGTATGACAAAAATTTTTGCTCTCCATGCAATCATGATCGTTAGCCTGCGCAGCATAGGCGTGAGGGTGTTGACTTACAAACTCGCTGTAGATTTCTTTCAGTCAAAAAAATTCCGTGTGCATCCGTTTAAGGAGCATGAGCTTGAGCATGATTAACCACCCGCGGTTGCTGCTCCTTTATTGCCTGTAATCACACAGAGAACCAACTGATGATGCTTGGGATTAGAAATGTGTAAAAACTGGTGATCTCATACATATCTCATACAATAGGCAATACCAGCGCCGGCTACGTCAGAATTCAGGTCAATTAACGAATGGGTTAGGAATATGTTGACGTGATACTCACTTTATTGGAAGCCGCAAAATCCTCTGCACTTCCACGAGAAATCACTGAGATGCTGGATTAAGGGGTTGGGTTTTCAGCAGGTTTCGTTTTGGTAAACATGATCTTATTAAGAAAAGAAAAAGCAACTAACGTATATTGAAAGTGAAGAGGTCTAAGACTAAACCCATGATGTTTGGCTCTGTATGTAAAATTGGTTTCTCTAATGCCACCGCGCCCCTCCTATCACATAACGCATATGAGTGAGCTGTGGCTATAACAAGGGAGAGAAATCAATCAAATAAAGGAACCGGCGACTCCGACGACGATGACGACAAGAGTCACAAAACATACCTGGGATTGATCCCACGATTCTCTGCTCTTGTGAATTTGATTTAGATATCTCAAAGACCCATAAAAACCTCAGTCCCCGTATGCAGTGCAGACGATGCCGGTTCTTTAAGCAGCTGGTGCAATTCGCGATTCATCCGCCTTCTCCACCTTCCATATTCCATCTGCACTATGCCGTAGAAAGTACGCCACATCTTCCGTTCAAAAACCCCACCGTTCGTGTTGGGCCTCCGAGCACATTGTTCAGATCTCATGAATATAGAGGACTACCGGTCTAATCAGCGTTTTGTAGATTCATGCAGCGGTGAATCACTACCACAACACGTCTTTGAATGTCTCTGCTGGTGACATTATCGACGGTCACCTGTGAATAGAAATGCACGAGCTTGTCGACCAATTCGATGTCGTCGCCGTCGATAAGAACTAAGAGGCTAACATGCTCTTCTTTTAAGACTCTCCATCTCATTTTTTTTTTATCTAGATGTGTTAATGAAAAGTTCAATCTGCTGGGTATCAGCCATCTGATATACATTTCCGCCATGGCCTCTAAGCATTTCATCGGCGAATCCAAGAAGCTGGATGGACTTCCTACTTTTCGTTTCTATCTCCGCTCTTCTAAACACACCTTTCAAAGCGATGTTAAGTAGCAGAAACGAAAGCCGGTTACCTGTGACCCTCTTCGAGATTCAATGAACCTCGATACTTGAACAATGCACATAACTCGATCGATTGTCGCATATCAGCAGAGATGCTCAAAGCTGATTCCATGCTATCCTCACAAATATTGCATCAACTATTGGTCAATATCTGGGACACCGCGACTTTTTCGGCCGATTGGATGCAGGGCGTTTTGGTAAAAGTCCCCAAGAAGAGGGATCCAACTGTATGCAACAACTGGCGAGGCATCAAGTTACTGTGTATTGTACTCAAAGTTCTGTGTAAAGTTATCCTCAATCGGATACAGGAGAAGATCGACGCGGCTCTCCGACAGCAGCAAGCTGGATTCTATGCTGGAAGATCCTATTGTCACGCTCCGCATCATCTTGGAGCAGGTCAATGAGTTCCAAGAGTCCCTGTACTCATTGACTACGAAAAAGCTTTCGACCGACTAGACCACGAAAACTTGTGGGGCGCTCTGAGACGCAAGGGAGTCCCTGATAAGATCGTCAACCTCTTCGAAGCGCAGTACGAGGCTTTCTCATGCAGAGTGTTGCACAACGGAGCTTTGTCTGACCCGATTCGGGTAATCGCAGGTGTGAGGCAAGCATGTATATTATCACCGCTACTGTTCCTCATCGTAATCGACGAGATCATGGTTGGAGCCGTTGATCGTGTACCGAACCGTGGGTTGCTGTGGCAGCCTATCACTATGGAGCATCTCAACGACTTCGATTTGGCTGATGATGTTGCGTTATTAGCACAACGGCGCTCTGACATGCAGAGGAAGCTCGACGACCTTGTGGAACGCTCCTCTGAAGCAGGTCTAACCATCAACGGCAAGAAGAACAAATCGTTAGATGTCAACACGGAAAACCGTTCCAATTTCACGGTAGCTGGGCAGGCAGTGGAGAAAGTCGAAAGCTTCCAATATTTTGGCAGCCAGATAGCGTCGGACGGCGGCACCAAGCGTGACATAGGTGCACGGATTAAGAAGGCGAGGGTTGCTTTTGCCCGTTTGCGAAATGTATGGAGAGCGAATCAGATTAGTCGACGCACCAAAATCCGAATTTTTAACTCGAACGTGAAGTCTGTGCTGTTATACTGGCCCCACAATTGGATCTCAAATTCCGAGCTTCATCGTTTGTGCCATCAGAAGCCGATGGAGAAATAAATTCGTGAACGGAAGTAGAGGTGGGTCGGCCACACACTACGACGGAGTGGAAACGAAATCTGCAAGCAAGCACTGGAATGGAATCCAGCAGGACATCGCAGCAGAGGCAGACCCAGAGGCTCGTGGCGGCGGAGCCTAAACAGTGAAATTAAGAACGTTGACCGAAACTTGACTTGGGCACAGGTCAAGGCCAAAGCTATTAGTCGCCCAGGATGGAAATCTTTCACAAAGGCCCTTTGCACCCCTGGAGGTGCGCAGGATCGTTAAGTAAGTAAGTAATTGTCGTCTTGACCTATCGTATCAGTTAATTCAGAAACCCGTATTCGTGCATAACCTATTCAAGCTGGTCTTGATCGATTGTGTTGTATGCTGATTTAAAATCGCCGCACAAATGATGTGTACGCACGTGTTATTTGCGGTTGCTCCAAAGAGCCTGATGAATCACGAAAATATAGCCCGAGATAGTACGGGTACCAACAAATCATGCCTGGTATTTGCCCATTAAGTATTTGGGGGAGAACATCCGCAATTTATATTGGATTAAAACTTTTGCTTCAAATGAGCGACAGAAATCATTATTCGGCTTAAAAGCTTTGTTGGAGACTTCCATCACTTGCTACGGTACAAGACGGAATTGTACGGAATTTCATAAAACATTTGGGTTTTGGCTATGAAAACAGCAAAATTATGGAAGTGTAACCTGTGGAAAATGGTTTTGTGGACCAGTCTCTAGTTGAGCGCAATATTAGCTGTCTCTCATTGTTATTGCAAGAAATTAAAATTATTTTTCGTTTCATTTCGAATTTTTCAGACAAAAATTGGCCAGAGCTATGATTCTATGATTATAGAAAATTAAAAGTAAAAATGAGAAAATTAAAATTGATATGATCTTACAGAACCAAATGGTGAAAACAGCAAAATTATGAAAGTTTATATAGAATTGAAGTTAACCGTTGAACAAAAACTTATAGTCATATATTTGATATGCTAATATGCTTTGTTATGTAATTTCTACACAGAATACAGTATTTGAGACATTGTAAATCGATACCAGTGCAAAAAAAATGACATAAAAAATTTGTATACAATAAGTTTAACAATACGACCAAAAGTTTATGTTATACAATTGTTTTCAATTTTCAAGTGTCCTGGTTTAAAATACTTCAAAAATTTGCATTTTTCATTAGCATTTTTCATAAAAATAATTATAAATATTGAAGATGTACTTATTGAAATATTTCAGTTTTTAAAACTTTTTTGAAATTTCTACTCAAAATTCCAAAAAATAATTAGCGTGTATATTTTTACCGGAATGACTTTACATTTCCAAACAAATTTGATTCAGGCGTCATTCAGATCAGAAGTGACTTTTAAGTGCTACAATTATTGGAAAATGTCAAAGACATCATTTTGACAAAACTACTTGATCCAAAATGGCCAAATTTTTGCAAAAATGTGAATGATTTCCGTTTACACATAATTATTTACAGTTTCATGCAAATCGGGTATGGTCGATTTTTTTTTTATTTTTTAGTTGTTTTATTCTATTTAGCCTGGAACTGGTCATTAGGCATTACGGGCATGTTCCGGTGCCTCAGGAGAATTGACCAATTTAAGACAACAACAAAAAATCCACCCTTTGACATGTTAAACTTAATTAATTATCAAAATAAAGTCAGGGGAGGCCATGCTGGCAGGCATATTGGCCATCCTGGACATGTTCCGTACCCCCGGGTAAGTGGTCAGTTTTCGATAAGATCTGAAGCCCAGTATGTGACTTCATAACTTAAAACTTAATTATTTTTCAAAACAAGGTTAGGGGAGACCATATTGAGAGTCCTTGGTGACATTGGCCATCATAAACATGTTCCGGTACCCCCAGGGACGTGGCCAATTTTTGACAAGATCAAAAACTCGCCGTGAGATATTTCAATCTTGAAGATTTTTCAAAACATGGTGCAGGTCATCATAAAAATTCACGGGTACATTCACCATATCTCGGGTATGTTCTGGTGACTCCGTGGAAGTGACAAATTTTCAATAAGAGCTGAAACCAAACATGCGGCATATCAAACTTTACAAAACAAGACCCCTTGAATAGTAATCAGCTATCGGCAAAAAATAAAACCCATCAAAGTTCATAGTTTTTTTCAAAACCCAGCCCGAGGAGGCAATATGCAGTAACAATATACATACCAAACATTTTACGGTATATTCGGAAAAATGACCAAAACACCAGCGTGTGACATATCAAACTCAATGAATTATCAAAACAAAGTCAGTGGAGGTCATACTGAGAGTCCACGGTTTTTATTGTCCATCCCAGGAATGCTCTGGCTGAAACCCACCATGCGACGTATCAAGCTTCATACATATTTAAAGAATGATCACTTTAAGTTCTTATCGTAAATTGGCACCTTCTAGTCTACGATTTGGTCAAAAACTATGGTGCAGCTCTCAGTACCGTGTGAAATTTCATCTCTGGGAAGGTTTCTAGTCATACCGAACTTTGCAAATGGAAGTAAAGCCTTAAGCAGGACAATGTGGTCAGAATCCGTGCCTGAAAGCTTTATGACCAAGTGCTGACCAAATTCACCGGATATTTTTCTTGGACCATGCATCGTAAATGCTGATTTCAGACCACCACTGGGACTTTAGTTTTACTATGCCACTTTACTGTACATGTTACTGTCAAATGCTAGTTTGCATTTTCGATAAATTTGCTGGCAAATACATGATTTAACAGGGATTTTGTTGATGCGGCGAGAAGACATATATATCACAACTTTACGAAAGGCCTCTAGAAGCAAAAGTGATTTGATTCGCTGACGGCCCCCTCAAGTTCTGATCAGATTTTGCGACCTGTTATTACAGTAGGATGTGCTATGACTGTAATAACTCAAGTGAGTCCAGTTTATACCATAAGACCTCAACATACCTCAACAATTGAAGCCAGTTTAGGAAGATTGAGAATTTTTTGGCAATTGTGATGGGAATGCTGAAGGTAAATGGTAAAGTGTCCAAAAACATCAGTCGGATGAAAACATGGGTAATTAGGATTACCAAAACTGTGAACGATAAATGTGAACGAGGGGTGATGCGCCTGGGTACAGGAAGAATCCCGGAATGCCTCCGAATTCACACTGGATGGACTTGAAATATTGAACCTTCAAAGATTATTTTCCATTTTTTGGATCACAAGTAACACAAATTCATAGAATTATGTCCAGTAAACTTCTTTACAACCAAAATAAGTCATATAAAGGTTATATAAACTGCTGTAGAACATGTGTGTTGCTTGAGACATTTAAATGAAGAAGTTCAACCGCAGCAGTTATACAAACAAGTCTTAAATGAATCGTTTGACTCATTAGAGTGATCAACCCAAGTAACCACCAAGCCCGCTAACTGCCCGATAAACGCTCTTTTTGCGATATTTGGTAAACATAGGGTTTCCCAACTTTATGTCAGTCGTAAATCAGCTTTATATTGCAAAAAAGACGATTAGCGGGCTTGTTGGTTACTTGGGAATAACAGTCACGGTTAGGCTTGTGGTGACCACTTGTTGAAAAGTAGACCAATTCAGTATGTCTTCATTTTTTTCCGCTTTCCATTGAGAGAACACCAAGAGAAAATCTACCCACCTTTAAATTGCATGAAACGTAACAATTAGTATTTAAGTAAACTCGTTGTATCAAAGCCGAAAAAATAATCCAACAAAGCGTATATTATTATTATTTAACAACCAATTGTATACACATTGTGATCATATTTTTGTACATACAATCAGATAAGCAAAACAATCACACATTCAAATTTCAGAAAAGCCCTTAGGAAACTAATTTAAGATTACAGCAATTTGCACAAGCTTCGTGGTCGACTTATTGATTTTCCATTAATTATATTTTAATTAAGTGTTTTTGTTTTTCTATTTAATTATCTATATCTTCCAATCGACATCAAAAGTAGCCATCATGTTTATTCAAATTCCATGTTCTTAATATCGACTAAGCTTATCAAAGGATAATTAATAGAAAACAGAATAGCTGATCAATGTTTGTGACCAGAGTAATTCTCAGTGTTTCGAGCGCTTTTTGAAAAAAAAAAATATAAAAAAAAACAAATCAATATATCTACTAATTGAATCGATGAGCAAATGCTGAAAGGAAAATCAAATACCTTGTAACGGTACAAGTAATCAAACTGCGAGGAAATCAAAGCGTAAAGTGGATGAAAAAAGTAATGAAACCATTAAATTATTTTATATTAAACCGAAAACTAATTCCGAGTTTTTGTTGTATTCCGAAAAAAAAAACCGAAAGCCATACAAAATCCTTGAACATAACGAAAACACAGAACAATGGTCGTAAATTTTTCAAACCTTTCTGTTCCTACCCTGTATACCTAGAATCTAGCTACCGCAGTCGGGGCAACACAAGGAAACACTCAGAAAGTTTTCAACTACAGTTGTTGGCAACGCAAGCCGTCAGTCCTCAGCAGCCCACTAGGAATAACCTTTTTTTCCTGTAGAAAGGTGAGTTTTAAGCTAGCAGCCTAACCTTCCTGCTGAGTCAGAGGCGCGGAGTGGATGGGTTGGATTTCGCACAGGGGACAACAAAGTTTTGCGCTCAACAATGGAAATAAATGTCATGTAATTGAAGCGAAACGTAACGACTCTCCAATGACGGTGGCAAGACCAGCCGTGAGGCTCTGAGGCATGTGGATTGGTTGGCTCCTGTACGCTGAAAGGGAAGGTTATCATCCTCGAGAGCTTGTTGCAGCATTCTGTAGGGGGACACGATGGATTGGGTGAAAGCGGCTCGGGAACCAAAGAGTTGGAGATGTTTAATGGTTAAAGTTTCGGTGAAAGTTGAGTATTTTTATGGATTCAACGGGGCGTCAAAAAGGGCAACCGGGAGTCTGTTGTAGAGTTGAAAAATAAGGTAATACCTATGTGTACGTAGGGAAGAAACCACATGCAGCGCGATACACAAATGGCTGTGTTGGACCGCAGGGGGGTCTGCAAAAGATTAGATCAACTGTAGCCAAAATACGCTACGAAGAAGGGTCTTAAAATGGTCAAAAATATGCTTTGTTATTTATGTATTTACCACATCTCTGTGCACAAACTTCATTCACATACAATTTGCGTGAAGCCTAAAAACTATAGATTTGAGGTAAGATTTTTTGCCAAATAGCGATAAAATAAACGAATTTAGGATTTACCACTCAGAAATTCATGAAACTTCGCATATTGTTCGCTTGGGACAAAATTTGTCCAAAATTTGTCCAAAATTGTAAAACATCAACTCTTAGTGAATTTTCTCAGTAGTCAGGTCAGTAATGGTATTTGTTAGCTTTTGATTTCTTGGCAAAACAGATTCAATTAACATAGCCAGAGATGGTTACGAAGCTTTTTTTTTGTCTTAGTAGTCACTATGAAAAAGTAGTGCCGTGTTGTCGTTTCTTCCTAATATAATTTCTTTGACATTTTCCAGCTCTGGACAAAGCTTACTTTATCTGTCAATCCAACTTACTTAAAATGTTTGAATGTTTATATTTTTTCTTAGAATTG